GTTGTGGCTCATAACTGTTAGACACTCATTAACTCTATACTAGCTCTGTTAATTGATATTCATACCTAGTTCCATGTGGCCCAATTGTGTACACACTACATTACTATCTGGTGTACTCCATCTATTATAATAGCTCCACCACCACCCCCTTCTACCATAACCGCAGATAGTCCCCCATACTTTATTGATACATATTTCAACTCGTCCTTCATATTCTGTTTGGCCACCTGCCAGTCTTATATCGCCATCAACACAATCGTCTTTTTGGATATCAACACCTATAATATTATAACAATATAGTGCACTAAATCAAAATAGGATGCTTACTTTGGCACACAACCGATGCATCATTATTGGTAAGGCAAGTGTGATGTCCTCCATTATATGAACAGTTCAAAATTTCAGCCTCAGTTCCAGTACAGTTTAAATCAATGATATGATGTGGCCATACTGAAGTGGAATAATATCCTGAGACAGCTATAGCTCCTGTAGTAAGTGAAAAAGCTAACTTGTGCTATAATTATGAACAGTAGAGATTTTTATATTTTTGCAGTATATGAGTTATTACTTTGTTTACTGTTATGCCACAACGTTGATTACAATAGGAATTAAATTTATCAAATAGATCAAGATTGTTTCAACCCTTCAATATAAGCCATAGATAGTAAATGACACGCTAGCATTGTTTACTATAAGCCATAGTAAAGGTGCTGACAAGCACATTCCTACCACACCTACTATCAGGTTTAAAATAAACTTTTACTAAAAATGTATTATTTGGTGAAGCCCTTAATCATGAGGTGAGTTTGTATGGGTGATTTGTCTAACTTTCTTAAAGTAAAAATAACCTAATCATTATGAGTGTGGCTAAGGGGCAGAGTATTATTATTTGGTAGAAATGACAAACCTACCATAAGGTGAATATCCTAACTGATTGCATATGACGCTAGCATCATTATTGTCCCAGAAATCACTGCAAACTGTTCCCCAGGTACCATTAACACACACTTCCACACGACCAGTAGACAAAGTTCCTCCCTGTAACCTTACAGCACTATGCTCACAGATAGCTACAAGTATTGTGATAGATTATGTTTATTAAAGAAAAACTTACGTTCACACTTTAACCCAATATCATAATAATGACTAGAACACTGTGAATTAACAACAGTAAACACGCTCCTTCGACATTCAATTAATGAATCTTCCGATCCAGCACAATACATGTATCCAAGAAAAACAGGACCAGTACCTTGACCATATTGACTACTGCCATACTGCACTCCACCTGTAATAACAGTATTCATTCATCATTCATGGAGTCTGCTTCTAAGAAATGACTAACTATTGGAGTAGTAGTATCAATTGCTAGTGTGTATAGGAACAGTAATAGGATAACACAGTATACACTCACACACACAGTGCTGCAAGACTATACTTATACACAAACAAGACTGAAAAGACTTTAAAAGAGGACTAATGCACAAATGTCCAAAAATGAATAATGGTGGACATAATTGTCCCATACTAGATTACATGCTACTAATAAAGTACTAACACTGAAGCAATTAATAATACAACAAACATATTAAATACCTTTCTACAAGTAAGGCAGGCATATTTGTTCCTTCAATGCACATTTGACTCTATAGTGATTAGTGAGTCCAAAGGTGCATCATGACATAATATGACATGACATGACAACATTTTCAGATAATGTAATAATGTAATAATACAATCATAAACATGTGTAATACACAGTACATAACATGAGTACTCCAAGCATCAATAAAATAATTATATTTCTACTGTATTACAATAAAATTTACATAGACTCAGTGTGAAAGGGCAATTACCTAATTCCTGGTGTCCCAGTTGCTTGCAAGCAACTCTTGTATCACTAGAGCCCCAACTCCGACTGCATACAGTACCCCACATCTCATTAATACACACTTCAAGCCTTCCTTCATTTCCAGTTGATCCACCAACCAAACGAATATCACCAGTTACACAGCTAACTGGTTCAACTGTTACATCTAATTATAAAGTAATAATAATATTAAAATAAAAATATCAATGGTCCTACACAGTCATAATTATTTTTTTATGATTATGCAAACTAAAAAGGCAAAAACAAATTTACAAATGATGTACAAAATAAACATAACAGCTGTTTATTGTGATTTTACAAAATCAATTTTTTGTAAGCAAGATCAAACCTAATTTAAATAATTCTTTTACATCATACTGCAGGATATACTGGCAAGGAAGACAATTAAGTTTCAGAAAAACATTAAATTAAAATTCACCAATTTATTGCAAATCATTAGCTGCCACCACAAAAAAATATCTCATTGCAACTAAATCCCGCTACATGATATATTGATGCTCTTACTTTGACAAATAACTGAGGCATCATGAGATGGTGAGCAAGACCCAGTTTGATTATGTGAACAATTCAGTATACTGGTCTCATTACCAGTACAGTTAGGATTAATTATTCCAACGGCCCAGACATACTCAGAATAATAACCAGAGGCAGGTACTGCACCTATAATAATAGTGTAATTCAATACAAAGTTTAAACTTATTAGCCATACCATAAAAAGAGTATCCAAGCTGATTACATACAACAGACGAATCTTTATAATTCCAGTGGTCACTACAAATTGTAGTCCATATTTCATTCACACATAACTCAACTCTTCCATGAGTATAGCTTCCACCTCTTAATCTTACAGTACCATTAGTACAATAAGCTGTTAATTTATTTTATAGAGAGATATATACTAGTACTTAACTTACGTTCACATATGACAGCAGCATCATAGCTATGTTGCTTACAAGTTGAAGCAGAGTTTGTTCCATAATAATTTTGATTACAGTCAATCAAAGATTGTTCCTGTCCTGAACAATAAAGATATCCCAAAAGTATTGGCCCATGACCATAGTTAAAACCATAAGTGGTAACACGACTATATTGGTAACCTACATCAATAAGCAATAGCATTAATAATACTCAGCTAAAAAATCTGAAGTGCTATAAAATTGGCAAATTGACTCTTTAACCAATGCATGCAAAATGCCACTATTGAGCCCTACTAAATTGAACACAAAATTTTTGTTAAATGGACCTCAATTCACCAAATTTACCAAAATTTTAGTTCACTAAATTTTTAAGCTATATAGACCCTATAGGGCACTAACTTCTAGAAGCAATTATAGATACCATATATGAGACACTATTCGTAATCTTCCGTATCCTTTTTGCATTCTTTAATGAAAAAATTTAAAAATTCTCCTGCTGGACGGCAAAACAAGGCAAAACCAATGGATAGGAGGCCAAAAGCAGCCTTTGTGAACAAGTGGCTTCAAGTGCAGTGAAGCTTTTTCTCAGGAGACATTCTGGGCTTTATTCTTCACTCTTACTGGCATTTATTGCCACTCAGGCAAGCTCTGGAAGCCACAAAGGCCTCATGTTCCTTGTTTTCCCATGTAACTACACTGTGTCTTGCTGTCCAAATCATGACTTTGGGTGGATACTATAATGCAATAGTTACTTGCAGAAATTAGTGCCCTATAGGGTCTATATACCATAATTAATGGCTAACCAATTGTTAGTGCTCCCATGTATCTACAAACAACTTTAGCATCAGTGCTGGACCAGCTAGTAGAACAAACTGTACCCCAAGCGCCATTCACACACACTTCAACTCTCCCTTGATACTCGTTAGAACCATTCACTAATCTCATTTGTCCATCAGTACAGTTACTATATGTAACTAAGTTTGAATCTAATAATAACCAAATAAAGCAATTTGTCCATTGTATTATATAGCATGTTATACCTTGACAATACGCATTAGCATCTCTTGTATTAGAGCAAGAATATTGGCCAATCAGTCCATTAAAGGGACAGTCCAGTATACTGCTCTCTTGGCCAGTACAGTTAAGGTCAATGATATTATGAGATGGGGTAGAGGATGATGTTTGTGTAACAGCAGGACCCAATGCACCTATATAATAACTAGAATTAGTAAATGCAAGGCGCGGAATAATTACCGTAAGGAGAATATCCTAGCTGCCTGCATATGACACTGGCATCGTTGTTATCCCAGTAATCACTACAAATACTACCCCAAGCACCATTGAGACAAACATCTACAGCACCGTATTGCTGGGATGACTAAAAGTATTTATATATTCACAAAGACTGCACAGGAGAGCTGTACACTTACTAAACGGACTGATCCATTAGTACACTGTTGCATAGAGTACCCGACAAGCAAAAGAAGCAAAATAAGCCTCATCATTTTCATTTGCAGCTTTTGCAAATGAGGGATGATAAACTCGAGCTCCGTAGATTACCGGCATTTTGTACCAATAGCATCACGTGATCAATTAGTAAGATTTATAACTATCAGTTAACTAACCTTCACTCTAAAAAAACTTGGTGCAACTTCGCACTCAAGCAGTGTAACTATGATGAATTATTTCAGATAGTTCATCATAATGTGGTGGTTATGAGAAATGCTGTATAGCTTGAAAATATTTGCTGGAATTAAATTTTGCTGTCTGCTGTTCATCATTTTTAAAATGCATAATTTAATTCTGCAGAGTATTATAGGTAATGGGTGTATCAACAGTTCATGCCTACACCAGCAAAATTAAATCCACATGCATTAAAAAATTTACAAAATTGCAAAATTCCACAATATAAGAAGCGTTTAGTCTACAGATAGGGTATTTGTTGTAATGTTATAGCAGGACAGGGAGGAGCACTTAAACAGTTGGTGGTAAAATAGGGAGCACTATATTACCTGCAACAGGATGGTGATTGGTGATAGATTGAGGTATGGTGGTTGTCCTCGTGGGTCCACATGTTTGTAGTATCCGGTATACATTTAATTCAATTTGCTCCGTTAAACCATAGATAATAGAGACTACGTATACTATACTATTACAAGCCAGACACCTCGTGGGTCCACATGTTTGTAGTATCCTGTCCCTCCTACTCCGTGGACTGGACTATAAGAAAAATGGCTACAAGGGTCTATGGCGAGGTTTACAAAGGTTTATCTTTGTGTCCCTCGTCTTCACCATCCAGTGAGGAATTGGAGAAGTTGATGTTACTAAGTAATGGTTTCCTTAATGAACTAATCGAGTTAGTGTATCGGAACAGAGTCAATGATGATGCTTTCCTTACAGATGGTAGGTGTGAACCGCCTCGGTGTGAACTTAAGGGCAGTAGAGTCAATTGGTGTTAAGTCCATGGGTACATTGACATTTTGTGTTGGGTGCATGGGTATGGGACTTGGAGGCAGACCAAATTAACAAGTGTTGGGACTTAGGATTCAAATTAAATAGTTGGGCAGTGCTGGTTTGATTATTTACATCAGTTGTAGCTCCTGATATTTGACACAGCATGCAAGCATTGCCAAGCAATTAGTTGCCAAAATTCTCATGTGCATAGTCTCTTGAAGGTGTGTGACTAGACTACTGTAATCAGTCATTTGAACAATGCACATGTATGTTAGAATATGCCATGAGCATATTTGCTAAACTAAGTGGTGCTTACATTTGTTGCTATTACTCTAGCCAAATCCAATGAATGAATACTTCCATGTAAACAGTGTCTTAACTCTTACACATAACTAAATGTATCTCTTTTATCCGAAAAAGAAGTCCCTTTTTTGTGTACATGCTGTGGTATGAGATCACACAATCTATCAAAATTGTAATTTGAATGTTGCACCTCAATTATGACGTGTCTTAATATTGGTTCATTAACTATGTACCAAACCAAATTTACAACACGTGAAATAATATAGCTACATTATGTATCAGTATTTTTGTTGCAGTTATTTTATAATGTTGAAAATAGCATTATTAATTTGAATTGTTAGCTTTAGCCAGTACGCATACATTTTTGCCATTCCCACTTATTTTCAATCATGGTTGTTGACTGGGAAGTCTATATTGGTTTATGCCTAATTATTATTATCTGTAGTTAAGAGTCAGCGCTCTTTAAAAAAATTAAAATTAATGTTCATGAATCAAAGCTATATGACGTTAAGCTTAAAACTTTGTTTGGATAATTATTGGAAACAGAAATAGTGCATCTTGATACAGTTTTTTTGTCAAGTGGATTGTCAAGTCGCTCAAAAATCACAATAAAAGAATTCTCGATTTAAAAATGTTTTTCTGGTACATATGCATGTTTTATGTTTTTTAGAAAATTTGAGCTAATTCTGATCAAAATTGGATTTTTTATGAATTTTTAAAGTTGTTAAAAAATCAGGCCAACCAAAAAAAGACTTATACCTCTGGTCAAATTTTGTCAAAACTGGCTAAGAGAAAATTCTCTATTTTATAAAGTTTTTCTAGGATATGTACACGTTTTTATGTTGTGTAGCTTGTTGAGTTGATTCCAATCAAAATTGGCTTTTTATAACTTTCTGAAGATGCTCCAAATGCCATGTAGGTCACTTAGCATACTTTGTGGGAAACCATGATTGGAAAATAAAATAAAAGAAATTGAAGACAGCTAAAATTAATTAGTTAGTTATTGTAACTAACTAAAGGAGTCAGGACGCATTAGTAATATACATTATCTATTTTTTAGTTTTAACAGAGAAAAGAAGTCATTGGGGATTAATTGTTTCAGAGGTTAACATTCCTTCTATTTTGTCAAAGCACTCTAGTCCATTTGCTGATAGAGTGAGCAGCCAGCTCTCTTGTCTTAATCAGGTATTGATAGTTTTTAGTATGGGAACAAATCTTACAATTTCTTTAATTTATTGAGCTTTATTATTTATTGTAGGTGTTTGTTTGACTTTTGTTGCATTTTATATTTATAATTGTTGTTTATTTTTCTATTTATGATCTATTTTATTTTCTTTTATATTTTAAAACTGTTTACCCTTTGTATTATTGATATTGCGTAAAATTTTGTGATTGCTCTTTCCCATTCCTTTGCTCCCTCTTATTCGTCATAGGCTATATGTGAAGAGCATTGGGATGGTGCTAAAATCCTATTTGAGTGTAAGTGTTTTCAAGCCATGATCAGAGCATTACTGGATACATGGAGGCCAGGTAATTTAAAATGTATGATTCTGTTTCTGTTCACTCATAGTTTATCATTAGGTTTAGATATGAGTGACAGGGTATTAGTTTATAGTGATACTGATGATACTGCAGGACTTGATTGCACAACTGACATTGAGAAGGACAGTTTATATAATGATGGAAACCTTAAAGGTTTGTTAAGTGTTATGTATTGTTGAATAATAATTATTTGCTCTTTTTGTGGAGCCTGTAGTCGTCATTCTTTTATCATTGACTTCAATTAAAATGATTTACATGTACCATTCTTCTCTTTGCTTTTCTCTTGTCCTTTAGCTTTCCTCTTTCTATGTGTATTCTTTTTATTTCTTAACTTTTTCTTTTAACTTATTTTTTCTTTTTATTTATAGTCAATATTAATTTCTCTATGCACTCAAGATTACAGTATGCTCATTTATTAAAGACTAAAGAAAATTTTGATGTCATATTCCTTATCAATAATCAAACCATTAAAGCTCACAGGTACAACATGTATTTGATTTAATTTTCAATTGATCAGTTTTCAATTAGTTTGTTGTACACTAGGCTGTATGTAGCACATAACCACCAATTTATATGTTGCTTTTGTGTGTGTTGTACATTATTCCTTGAATTATTTAATTTTTGTTTATAGGATCATATTAGCTGCACAGTCGAATTATTTTGATAGATTGTTATTTGGTGAAATGAGTGAGGGATCATCCAGTAGCACTGTTCCGATTGTATTAAAAGATGTTAGAGTTTCAAGCTTTCAACTTTTGATGTGTTTCGCTTATACAGGGTTTGTTGAACTAAAGTCTGCTCAGTTAGAGGTAATTAGCTAAGTTAGACTATGATATGTGTATCATAATAATTATTATAATGTACTATGGACTTTGTGTTTAATCAAGTAAATACACCAGACTGTTTAGATATCTGACCACTGTGCATGCACAACACTACAGTCTACAGGGTTACTTTATAATGTGACTATGCTGTATATGCTGTATTATACCTTTGCGACAGTTGTCACACTGTACGATATAATTATTTCAAGTTTTAGATAGTGGAAATGTACATGTACATGTACCTATGTGACAAATGTAATGTGAATATGAATGCATGTAATGTATACTGTATCTCTATTGACTTGTAAGTGCTAGACAATGGTCCCATACCTCCCATTATACAGTACAATGCTAAATAGCCTGTTCTTTGATATCATGTTTAGGGTGTGCTGGAGCTGTTAGAGGTTGCTGACAGGTTTTGCTTTGTTAAACTGAAAGATGCTCTCTCGAAGAAACTGACTTCAGTCATTACTGTGAGCTCAGTCCTTCCTATCTTTGTTACTGCAGACCACTTGAGTTTAAATGAGGTACTGTCGCTGTGTGTGTGTGTGTTGGTGTGGGTGTGTGTATGCACTGTAAAGTATAAACAAGATGAACTTGAGGGAATTGAGATTTTTGGAGTATAAGTGTAGCATCGACTATTCATGGTTATTTATACAAAACTTTACTCAAACTTTTGAACGTAATAGTAATAATCTAGATATTGATTGATTACTTGGAAAATACATACCCCATAGTCTGTTATATTAGCCCATTGCTTATAGATTTCTATATATGGTATCAAATTTTAGAACCAGTGTAATAAATTATCCTAGACTATAATGTAGATAGTTTATCGTTTTTTGTATTTTGATTGAGAGAGAACAGGTTTAATACTTTATTTTTTAGCTCTGTCAATCATGCTTACGTTTTGCTGATCGTCATGCTGTTGAGGTACTGAAGGAAGAGACTATATTTTCATTACCACAAGACACTCTGATATCTTTATTATTACGCGATTCATTTGCAGCCAATGAATTAGAAATATACAACTGCATTAAGACTTGGATGACTCACAACTCAGTATCGTCTTGCCCTCCATTACTCAAGTGTGTTCGTCTGTCTGAGATACCAGCAGCTCAATTGTTAGACCTAGCTACTCCTCACGGTCAGTTTACTGAGAGCCAAGTGATTGTTGCTCTGAGGGTACAAATGAAGAAATTAGTGGGAGAGTCCAGGCCAAGAGGGCGTTGTGGTAGGTTGATATTTGTGGTACAAAATGTATATTGTACAAGATGATTTATTGGCGAGGAATTAATATTGGTGATTGGCAGTTCTATGAAGAAATCGCCAATATAAAATCTGCCATTTTGTTTCAATCTGAGCATGCTCAATGGCACGTGGCACAAAATAGCCAATATAAAACCCACCAATTCCTTTCCACAGGCAAATCCGCCAAATATTACTCCCGCCAATAAATCATCTTGTACAGTAATCTATTGCACATGGTAATCCCCTTCATTATGACCCTTCGGGTCACTAAAAGTAGTAATGCTCTATTTTTAAATTATATTTTAATGCACAAGAGTTAAAAAAATAGTACCATTTTTATCACAGTGGTAGTAATCAGAATACATGTGATAAATCTAATGTGTCTCTTTTTATATTAGAGTTTGGAAAGAATTTATTTGACCTTAAAGATTCAGCGAAAATTAAAGATTCTATTTCATGGAAAGAAGTTTCTGACGATGCAGTCCATAACCAGGCACCACCTACTGGCAGGCTTGGAGTCCAGCAAGGATTTGTAGTACCTCAAGGATATGTAGCACCACAAGGATTTGGACTACATCATGCAATGTTTGGAACACAGCCAGGACTGAGAGGTGGTAATCATTGGCATCAAACTGGTCGTTTACCTCAAGGCCCAATGTATGCGAGTGGAAATAGCTTGTTAACTTATGTGGGGACACCGGAAAGTCCACTTAATAAAGTTATAGTGTTTGGTGATCGTAAACACTTAAAATGTGCCCCTCTGTTTGGCAATGACTCTTTGTCTGAACCTTTCTCCTCTTCCTCGTCCTCTCGACTAGTCTTCACTGTGGTTCTGGATGATCTGTATCTCATTAATTTCTTATCGTTTGTGTATCATCCTGAAGAGGATACACATGATCCAGTCTCATATGTTGTTGAAATATCTAGTAGTGGCTCAAAGAATGATTGGTTGCAACTAATGGATTATTCTGAATTTCCTTGCTATGGAAAGCAAGAACTTAGATTTCCCAAGCAGGCCATCAGGTATGGTGCAATGTTATGCTATTATACTTTTTATTGCTTGTACAATGTAGGTATATCAGGCTGTCATCAGCATCAGTGTCTCAGTCTCAAGTTGCCATTAGGCTACTCTCTTGCAGTTTAGAGGAAACACACACAGTCCCTACCAAATATTGCAATAATGGATTAATGGGTAGGAAAGAGAGAGGGTTGATTTAAGAGGTGACATCGAGAGAGAAATTTATTATTTATGCATATAGGACCACTATCTTATGTCAGTCCTGTTGCTCTGGAAGCTAGCAAGTCAGATAAAGAGATAGTGTGGCACTTTAGAACTCCATTGGTCATTACCACTGCTAAGTATGTTCATGATGCACAAATGGAAGCTCATTGTGTGATTGTCTATAATATCCTCTTGTGCTAGATAAATTGTGTGGGTAATAATTATCATTCTGATATTTTCGAATCAGCTTGGACTGTGTAATAATTTTTAATGAATTAATTTCAAACAGTGATTGATGTAGCATTAATTAATTTTTGGCATTATTTAGGTTTGTGTTTGAAAGAGGAGCAAGTCACGCAATAGAGCAATCAGTGATTGTACTGGTAAAGTGGGGAGTAAATGAGACTATGAAAGAAAAGAAAATTGAATGCTCATATTCAGAAAAGTAGACCCAATTGATTATTTTTGTGGTTCACCACTTAGGCTAGAATTATTTACTGGTTGCTATTTTTGTTGTGAATTCAATGATCTTTTTTTAGGAATTATTATGAATTTTTATTTGAGTTTGGTGAAGAAGAAGCAATAACTCTAGTTTCTGCTGCTCTTGTTCAGTCGGAAGATGTTGTAAGTTAATATTCAATTATTACTGAGGATTAAAATCATTTTGAAATTTAGGCTACAGCTGTAACTTTTAAAAATCTTCAAGTCATGAATAAATTTAATGGCTTTAATCATTGATTATGTAGACCAGAAATTATATCAATAACATTATATTGTAAAACTTTTAACCAATTATTTGATGAGTGAATAATTTAAACAATTTTTGTTGATTTATAATCGCATTATTTATTTCAAGTGTAAGATATGAAATTTTCAGTTCACCAAGGGGGAACTTGGGTATTAGAAAGTACTATCTAGATTTTACTAATGTATGCAAGATAGAATTTTATATAAAATAGTAGATTTGCAAATAGGCCTAAGCGCTTTACTGTAATACTTAAACCGTTTTTAGTACAACAATTATATTTATGAGTAACAATAGCTACATTGTGCCATTTAGTCAGATTATTTCATTCCTCTAAGTAATTTTTCTGGAACATAGTGAAAGACTTTATCCATTGCCATTGAATGCTCATTAAGCCACTGTCTGTAATTGTGATCCTGCATTAATCACATAATCAATAATCATAACAATGACAATAAACAAAATTGCTAAAAGGACACAACTTAAAACAATGGCTCAAGTTTACTTTAGATTGTAATAGTGACATGACTTAAAACTAGAGACTTCTAATTTATTTGTGTACTGTACATATACTTATTATGGATGCTTCCAAAAGTTGAATGTACTCCTTCAGACCAATTTTTATGTCAAGCTTTACTTACAATAAAAAAATAATAAAGTTATAAAAGCACAGCTTGGTCTTCATCTAGTCTGGCCCAGCCCCTCATCTAGATCTGTTACAGATTTTCTGTTGGCATATATTCATAAATCATCTGTACTGTAAATGCTGGTGCAGGTAAGAATGGCTGATTATGGCTACATGTACTAGTATAATATCAGAACTTATTTTTGTTAATTAATGTGCTAAGGGTGTGGCCAAATAGTTCAATCATGGAAGGAAAATATGCGATTTTTCTCTCTTGTTTAGTTGGGCTTGGATTGTATTTTGGTTTGAAGAGGTCGCTATGGGAGGCAGGACTAGCCTCTTTAATTGGGTTCCTTGGACTAGGAGGACTGAAACCAACACTGCTGACTCTTAAAACACTGCCAAGGGATTTCAGGTATTAATGCATGTAATGGTATTATGCATAGAAGAATTATATAATAAGGGTATCATCAAAATTTTTAATCTTTTACTTATTTAGTCAGACAGAACAAATTTTGCATTTTGAATGTTTCTTGATCTCAATAATTTTATTTTGTGAGAGTCACATTGTGGCTAGTCTAGCAGCACCAGGCCACGCCGTCTATGCCAGGCACAGAGGTTGTGGTCTTGTAGCGTGAGACTACCTCATAACTAGTACATCACCCACCAGTCTAACCACACACCTGACTACTAGTGACTACTAATTGGGATTGTTAGGCTCCTATCCAGCCCTGATTAGACTACATGTACCTTAAGGAGACAATTGTTTGTGGGTACCGTACGTATATCCTCAAATAAAAGCTAGGTTAGCAATAAAATGGAACTATAAATATGCAAATCTAGCATTAACATAGCATATATATCTTGCAGACACACTTCCTTAATCTTCCTGAAATCGTTTGCATGAGTCCCTGGTTTGAATCCTGGGCTCAAGTTTTATTATACTTTTTAAATTTCTTTGAGGTTCATGTGTCATTTTAAGTAATAGACACCCGGGCTTTTATTTGAGGAAATATGGTATTTAATTTAGCAAATTTTAGTGATATTTTAAAAATTGATAAATAATTCCATGCTAGTTTTAATTTCTTAATAGTAAAATAATCAAACCGCTAAATTAAATACTAACCAAATGTAAAAGTCATGAAAATCACTAAAATAAATACACGCTAATAATTGTCTCCTTAAGGTAACCTCACTGTCCATACATTATTGGGACAAAAGTTGTAGTCTGGCTCCTCCCCTTTGTTACATGGTAGGTCTTGGTGCAATGAAAAAGTGGGGTCATGCAGACTAGGACATCTGAGTAGATGAAATTATTTTTTCTGATACACATGCTTTATACTTACATGTACATGTATGTTGCATAGAAATTTTAAGCTCATTCCAATCAAACTTGGATTTTTAAAGCTGCTCCAAAAGCCATGTACTATTGTACATGTAGCACTTTTCAGCTCATGAAGCATGCTGTTTAGCTCACTTAGCATGTTTTGTGGGGAACCGTCATAGTAAAATAGCAATACAAGGGAATTTAGGTTGATAATAAATTATGTATTGTATAGTTTGATACGCATTGTTTCTTAGGTTTATTTTTAAACTGATAAAGCTACTCTCCATCGTTAAGTCTCATCGTGCCAAGAGAGAGACTATATATAGTTTATTCTGCAGTTCTGTATCACGTCATCCTAAGAAGGCAGCAATAATCTTTGAGGATCAAACTTGGACCTTTGAAGATGTTGATCGATACTCTAACAAGATTGGGAACATGTTTTGCTCAATGGGTTTCAGTCGTGGTGACAAGGTAGCAATCTATATGATAAATTGTCCAGAATACACTTGCATATTCCTTGGATTGTCTAAGATAGGCGTAGAGGTTCCACTGATTAACTACAATTTGACAGAACAGTCACTGCTCCACTGTATTGAGGTTACTGATATCAAAGGATTCATATATGAGGAGTCACTGGAGTCATCAGTGTCATGGCTGTATCAAAGAATGAGTGAGAACATGAAGAACAATACTTTCTGTATTAGAGGAGAGAAGACTAGTAGCATAGGACGCCATCTTGAATCAGAAATGAAGGACTTCCCAGATACTGCCCCTCCTCCACTTGTTGAGGCTAAATCAGACGGTAACTTGGAAAGAGAGTTAGAGTGAGAGAGGAAGAAATTGAAGGAAGTGAGGGGAGGGAAAGGGAGAGAGAAAGATTGACAGATAAAGTATCTTGTAATAACATTTGTACATACACTGTACATGTAGTCTAGACTTTGTGATAAGATATAAATGAGATAATGGATGGGCAAACATTAATAACGTTTTCTTAATCTTAGATTGGTGCTGTTATATTTACACATCTGGTACTACTGGTCTCCCTAAAGCTGTACCTATCAGGCACACTAGGTAATGATCATAAAATTATTGTGAATTCTTAAATCAGTCAGCTTTTCAAAACTATTCTAGCATACATACATGAACATGTAAATACCGTATAGCGCTTTATTTTGGCGATTTTGCTGTAAAATTCTAATTGGTGGTTTTCAATTTGGCGAGTTTTGTGTACACGTACAATACTGAGCATGATTGGCGGTTTTAATATTGGTGATTCTGCTTGCAAACCGCCAATCGCCAAAATAAAACCCCACCAAATTAAAGCGCTATACGGTAATATAGCAGTCTTACTTTCTAAGTTCTTTTAATGCAATTATTTTGTAGATATTTTGGCACTGCTATACTATTGGATTTCATGTCTGATCTTCGTCCTGATGATGTAGTGTATGTTAACCTGCCACTTTATCACACTGCCGGTGGTACTATTGGTCTGGGACAAATGATTGTTAATGGGAAAACTGTTGTATTAACTCGCAAGTTCTCTGCTCGTCAGTTTTGGAAAGACTGTATAAAGCACAAGTGCACAGTAAGTGGTGATTCTCTTTGACTAGTGCTGATACTATAAATAAGAGTGAGACCATTGATTATGTTTGTGGTTCAGTTGCATTTTGCACTTTAAGTGTTGGGACTGGAAGTATTGTAAATGTATGCAAGTGTAGGATACATGTATTTCAACTCTTGCATTTGCACCACACAGGACTTATGAGTTTTAACGAAGACTATGCTTTGAGGTATTACAGTGTAGATTACTCAAGTATTCAGAATTAAAAAGAAAAACTGTCATTGTAAAATCAAGAAGTTAGGCTGACTATCATCAGTGGTGCTACTAAAAAGGTCAAATTCTTTCCTGTGTAAACCAACTGGGAGTATGCTTGTTGCCCACAACTGATAATAAAAACTGAGTCATTTCTAATCAATTATTGTTACCAATAATTCATTTCTAACCCATTATTGTTACCATTATTTGCATAGGCTGTGTTGTACATTGGAGAGTCTTGTCGTTATGCTCTTGCAGTACCTCCTGACCCTGCTACTGATACAGCTCACTCTGTGAGGGTTGCCATTGGTAATGGACTAAGACGTGATGTGTGGCTACAGTTCCAGGAGAGGTTTAAAGTCCCAAAAATTGTAGAGTTCTATGGATCAACTGAGGGTAACAGTGCATTTATCAACACTCATGGAAAATTGGGAGCTATTGGATTCAAACCAAATCTATTGGGCTTTATGTTTCCAGTGTATTTGATAAAAGCAGATCCAACAACAGGAGAACCAATACGGAATAGTAAAGGACATTGTACTTTAGTATCAGTTGGTGAACCAGGACTACTAATTAATCTCATCAAGCAAAAGGATATATTCCGTAGATTTGATGGCTACACTAGTCTTGAAGCTACCAATAAAAAGATATTGCGTAATGTATTTAAAGATGGTGACTCTTACTTCAATACTGGTGACATGTTGATAATGGATGATGAAGGATATCTTTATTTTAATGACAGAGCTGGTGACACGTTTCGATGGAAAGGAGAGAATGTATCGACTACTGAAGTGGAGAACATCATTGGTTCAATCCTTAAACTAACTGATGTCATTGTGTTTGGCGTTGAAATACCTAACTGTGAAGGTAGAGCTGGAATGGCAGTTATTTTGAGCTCCGATAAAGAAGTTGATGTGCTTCAATTGGCTGGAAAGCTGTCTTCTCTCCTTCCTTCTTATGCTGTACCATTGTTCCTTCGTTTTGTCGACAGTGTTGATCTGACTGGTACGTTTAAATTTCAAAAGACACGATATCGTAAAGAAGGATACAATCTAATAGCAACT